TAAAATTTGAAAATATAATAGGCCAGCATTAATTAATGGCGGCTTACTATCCGTTATCCATTTTTTCTTAGGTTCAAACCAAGTTTTTTTTAATACCGTGATATCTGATGAAATTAGCAGTGGAAGCTTAATATATAAACTAAATTAAACAAATACAACTTTGGTAACATATTACATATAATAAACCACAAGCAACGAATGTAAACCATTCTCTTTAGTAATTCCAGATAACTCTACCTACATTCAAGTTTTAACATTTTATAACATCTTTACCTTATACTTTGCTATGCAGTCTTAAATCAATTTTTCAGTCTTTCAAAGCAATAACAGCCAAAATTTTTATATTTTTATAAACTTAAGTCTAATAAATTCGTGTCTTTTATATAAGCATGTTAAACACGAGCATTCGCATCTTAGTATGTCAAGAATTTCAATAACAATCGTTAATGTGCCGATTTTAAAACGTGTAAATTAAATCTGTAACCCCCAGTAGCCCTTGAAATATATTCACGCCTTGCCATCTTTTCAACATTGCCGATGTAAGAAAGCATTTATCAATCTTACAGAATATCTATAACATTTTCTTGTCTTTTTTTCTAAAAGAAAGAGGTAAACAGTTTTTTAGAAGAATAGAAGAAAAGGAAATGCGCGACAAATTCTTAAAATACTTCATCAGATCCATCTGAACACTTATAATATTTAATACATTACAGTAACACATTAGAGACTCAACTTTGTATGTCTACTTGCTAATAATCGTTTATAATAAAGTAACACAAGTCTAATACGACACATTAACGTGCATACGACCAGCCTAATTTTATAATTAACAAATTTTTATTTTACTTAGTACGGCGACAATAAGTTTTCTAACAGATATAAAGTAAATATTATATCTTAAAATGAGTTATAACATAAACGTGACAGTAGTAAAGAAATCTTCATCCTTTCATTTATCATTTCTTTTGTTTCTTTCTTTTCCAGCCTACATATATTCCTGTAAACCAGATGCGTATAATTTAAAATTTTTATAATTGTTAATTGTTAATTTAAAATAAATATTTTTTAGGAATCATGACGACTGTAATGGCCACATCTGCATTGCTATATACCGTTACAAATAGATGCCAATCTGAATTATTTTTTCATGGACAAAAATAAAAATACAGATCGCTAATTGTGGCAGTAACGAACGCTAATAAGTCTACTAACTTATTCATTTTAATGTCTGAATTTAATCTGAATTGATATATTCACTATCATTGACATTACTATATTTTAGGGCACCACTTTTTAAATATGTTTGTGGTATTCTCGTTTATTTACATGACCAAATATTAATATCATCAATGTATACGTAATAACACTTCGCTCCACTCTTTATAGGACAGTTGTCATTCAGATAGTTTCTTTAGGTATCAGTAGTTATTTATTACACGATTTTTATAGCGACAGAAAAAAAATTACTCGTAAAAATAAATTATTTGAAAACACTGAACTCTTGCGAAACATCATTGTAATATTTGAATTATTAATTGAAATATTGTAGCATAATTATTGCTAAAAATGCCGTTTTATTATTTCTAAAAATCTATTAAGTAAATCTTTTTGAACCAAAAAATATAAAAAGGAATTAATGATAAATTTACATTGTCGGTGTTGTTTTTTATTAATATGTTGTTTCTAATTCTATAATAGTAAAAAATTTAAAAATAAATAAAATTGTATCTAAATACAGCGAAAAATGTAGATATCTTCCTAATGAAAGGCAGCTTAAACTGACAATTCGTGTTATTTTAGAGTGTGGCTTGCTACTCTTACGAAATACAGCAAATCATATGTTTTATGAAAAATAAGTAAATACACATAATGTATAATAATAAATAGATCTGTAAGTCTTGTGAATTAGGATCGCAAATTTTTAAAATTAACATCAATCTACGAATAAGCTATTATTTATAATATTTTAATTCCACGATGATGGCAAATGGCAGATCTGATGACAAACGGCTGCTGTACCATATAAACACTAAAAATACCAAGGTGTCCGCATGTGATTCTTAAGAAAACTGCAAAAAAATTCAGCAGGTAGTTCCTTCCACAATCAAAGAGAAAGCGGAAGGAATCTTCACCTATACCGTACTGCCCGAGACCAGTCAGGTTCCTGGATGTAACGATAAATTCCCTGCCCATAGATGAGAGCAGTAATGTATACGTGGCAGAACTTGTGACTTAAAGTCTCTGGTCAGCATGAAGTACTATTTCTCCGTATTGAGCACTCCAAGCTTTTTGGACGCCAGCCTTCCCTTGTCTTTGAGGTGAAACAGAATTCGACAGTACTAGAGAACTCGACACCGAGAAACACAATGTTCTAGAGATGGTGATGGATATGTTCCTTAATTGCGTAGCCACAATAAAAGAGGTAGGGTTAAAATGAGTTCAATTAAATTAAGTTCAATCGCCACCAATTGGAGACTTTGTTAAGGGTTTGTAAGGTAGACTTCAGATACATCAATGATACCATCAGAGCCAGTATAGTATGCATCCCCAGTACTCTCGTTCGCATAACAATTAATGTCTAACGTGGTTATCAAATTATTGATATGCAGTAAAAACAGTGTTGGGAATAGATCTTCGCGGGACGCCAGTGTTATGACCATACAACTGTCCAGTGCAACTGTCATCGACTACAGTTTAGATGCATCTGCCGATGAAAAAACTAGCGACCCATTTCCTTAACGGCTCTGGTAATCTGTACAAGGCCAATTTCGATAGAAGACCTTGATGCCAAATGCGAGCAAATTCCTTTGCTAATTCAAAGCTAACTACAAATCGCATCATGACCTCCATCACCTTGAAGAGTAGGGAGACGAAAATAATAAACCTGTAGCTTGATAATGTTTTGACGTCAATAAGTCGCAGTGATTCTTGAGACAGTAACTCACGCCGGGCTCCCCTCCTTGTTAGGGATATTTCCGACAGAATTACCACTTTATAAAATTGTAGTAGGTATGGCGTCTCCAGAGTCTTAAATACAAATTGTTACAAAAAAGAAATAATAACAAATCGGTTTTCTTTTTTTCTTGGGCTAAGTATCAAGTTATCATCCGGCTATAGTGGTGGTAAGAATGTATAAAGTACTACCACATTTCAATATTAGAAATATGTTAATTCATCTGTAGAATAGAATAGAATAGAATAATACAGACATTAGTTAAAATTTTACTATAAGTTCCTGAATAATAAGCAATATTTACTCACAATAAGAGTTCAGTTATTTCTTTTAATTATTTTTTAGCAGTCCAAATTATTTACTATTTCTACTAGCATTTTGATTAGATCACACCATCGAGATTTATTCTTTTCTTCATCATCTTATAAGACCCACATATACAGCGTTTAGTCGCGTGTTATTTTACTAATATAATAAATTTTAAAAATCTTGTTACACCTTGAAGGTGTTTGGATTTATTTAAAATTACACCAGTTATTTATTTATAATTACTTTCATAATTGATCACTATTTTTTCCGTATCCTCTTTGTGTAATGATAGTAGAAATAAATGTTCTCGTTTACTTCCTCATTTCTCGGTGAATATATGAATATGATGATTATGAAAAATAATTATAATAATGCCCTTATTTATATTTGGTGTAGATTTTTCAAATCATGTTGTGAGGTAATCAAAATTTTCAATGGTATAAAGATAGCAATCTTTACAACCCTTTGAATTAGGACTATTATGCAAATGTGTTCCAGTTACAGTCTATCTCGAACGTCTGATGAACTACCGTCTCTTTGCCGGAGTTTTCGAAATGTTTTTCCAAAAAACTGTTAACTTCTCGAATTATTAAAATCTGATGGAATTATCAAACACACACACGTGTATTTTGAAAATTATAACCGCAAACAGTTCTTATTTTCTTTTCGCGCACAAGTACCTCGAGATGCAAGTTTTTCCTGAGTTTATTACATTCTTGTGAATAATCCTCGATCTTCTTTATGTAAATAATTCTTCAAGTACATTATAACCCTAATTACAATTCTAGAACTGATACTACCATCTCATTCTCGAAGGGATGGAATATTATAACTATGAATAAGCAGTCAAATTATATAACAATGTTCCCTTATTAACGGTTAAGGCAGTAACGAACAAACAAATATATTGATTTTTGTATTTAAGCCCACTTAAAAAAGGAGGAGGCGCTCGATACGCCTGTACTATTTATTACTTCGCAAGTCCTTTATATATAAATATCCAAATCAATTCAATATTTTATGAGATCATACAATCCAATAAAAAAAAAAACATAAAAAAACACATATTTTTATCTTTAAAATATTAGTATAGATTTATAAAAGACAATCCAGAACATTGCAAGTTTTGTAAGTAATTATACTTTACATGCTAAGCTGCTTAAATTTAATTTTTGTACAAGAATTGGCACTAATAATTAAACGTACCTTACTTATTATATATATACATAAAGGTATTTTTTACGATATTCTGAAAATTCATAATTCCAATGCCTTGCATATTTTTTCAAATTCATATACTGTCTTGGATTAATGATACGAATGAGCTGAACATGTATTTTCGAGTTTTATATATTTCAGTTAATTATAATCCTAAAATAAACTTGTTAAAAGAAAATATGACTAGTCTTGAAACGTTCATAGTAGTTGCTGTATCCTTTGGACACAATGTCATTGAGTTTAATTGGTTAATGTAGAATTTTTCTTAGTAGCACGTTTTATATGAAGAGTGGTAAGGAACACGGAAGTAATAAGACAGATCTCGGTTGAAGGGTGAAATAAAGCAGTGAAATTATAAAATATTTGGATGCATCATCTGTATCTTTCTGAATGACAAAGCACGAGTAGTCACGGGCGTTCCCCTTCATAACAATAAATCCTTCGTTACAATTAAAAATAAACAATAAAAATAAAAAAATATTGCATTTGAATTTGGAATCTGTCTTTTTGAATTCTGCACGCCAATCTATTTGTCTCAATCTATAGATTTTAATATCTTCAAATATTTGTATGATATTAAAATCAAATGGAGTGATAAAGAAAACCTCGAATCGCTGTGAATGCATTACACAAGGTAGGTATGGACCCAAATACAATTTTAGAAACTCCCCATCCGCTTGGTTACCTTGAACGTTTGTGCACCGAGCTATTAATAGGTGGAACGAAACCTTCTCTGTTTGTGGCAGAAAAAGATCTGGCCGTCTATGCAGTGTCCGTACGAAAATAGCAATTAAAGTAGTAAGGGAAAGAATTTGAAGAAATTATGTCAGAAAGAAAAAAACTCTATTTCGCGAGATGAAGATACTTGTAGCTTCTAGAATAATATCGCGTATTTAAAATAGATGACTCAGGACTGGCACCCTATTACCCAGATGCACTGGGCATCACTGAAATGATAATTTTATAAAGAATATTAAATAAAAAAAACTACTTAAACGCAAAGGGAGGTCATAGAAATTATTTGTTACGGTGAGTAAATTTTTAGAATTACCAATATTTTTACAAAGGGAATGACGGTTTTTAAAAGTTCTAAAAAAACAATTCTCAAAGTAGAGCTTCCCAATCAGTCATCAGAGTACAACGTGGCCATGATCCCACTTCAGTGATAGTTTGGTAGTGAGGTAGTTATGAACGAGTAACTGAGATGTACTTTTGTGTAATAGGTATCAAAACATCGGCAAAGCATATCAAGAAACCATTCTTGAGAATGGTGGTTAAGGCTCTGAACAACCCAATGTTCCATAACCAAGAATGGTCCTTTCAGCAAGACACAGAGCCAGGTCATTAAGTTCGAACCGAGTTGTTCCGAAATTCATCAAAGCTGAAGGCTGGCTGTCATCTAGTACCGATCTTAATCCTCTGGATTATAATTTAAGGTTATAACAATTTGGAGTTGCTAAAGTTATCCATAAGATTGTCGTTAACGAATTTGCCCATGGAAAGAGTGCGTGCTTCTATTGATAACTGGATCAATGTTTAAAGAACTATATTGCAGCCAATGTAGATCATTTATATATTTTAAACGTTTTTATATCAAACTAACACATATTACAGTTATAAATGTTGCATGCAATACAAAAAAATAAAGATTTTGTAACAATATTTATGGCACAAATAGGTAGGCCGTTGCCTAAATGGTAAACGTTGTTACCAGTTACTGATCTGATGGATCGTCACGCTGTTTGTCATTCTAGTTATAACAAAAATATATATAGTTATACAGATTAATATCATGCATTGTATTTCTTAATAATAAATAACATTTTATTTATTTTTAAATCTATACAATTTGTATCAACATTATTTAAATACAACATAACGCCAGAAACCCTTTTTATACCACTTATGGCCAAAATATTTCGTTAACGAAACGAAGCTTTTATAAATAACGTAAATGCTTTGGCCGGGTGTGTAACCATATGAAATGTGCACCAGAATGTCCATTGAAGCAGTTTTACCTTGTTTTCATAGTTCCTTCTTCAGAACAACACACGATTAGTTTCATATCCCTAATCCCTATAATAAGGAAGTAAAGGGATGATAATCCCTAACCAAAACATCTTGTTAACAGAGTATAATTCCTTCAATAGACATTGATGCAGATTTCATATGCTTAACCGGTCATACCCTTTTCTATAACAATAGTGGATTTCCTATTTTGACAACTATCCTATCAGATGCGTAGAGCAGATTTTTTAATAAATTTAATATCGACATAAAACGAACAGCATTATACAATAGGTATATTAACATACATATTATTAAATAAATATATATGATAAACTGTTAATTATCTCATGTGTTGTGTGATTTGAAAGAAACTCTGTAATAACATTGAATATACTTAAGTGTTTTTATGGGGACGTAGTGGTATTAGTATACCACTAGGTTATGACGTTCCCATAAACTTACTTCCAACCAACCAATAGCCAACTTACATCCAAAAAGTCGTTAGATTAAATTGGGACGACATCAAAATACATTTGTGTGTCAATTAATATTTTTGTCTAACTTTCCGATGTGGGCAACACCGTCAACAAATAAAAAAACAAAAACAACTATTAATCCTAGAGCTCTGCCTGCAATGGTGGATTCAAATATATGCTGCCATATTCGATTCAAATGTACCCAGCGAAATCTAGGTATATTAACAATTGCACGACCTCAACAATTGACAATGCCTCCAATCTGGGATAGCAGTAACTGAATTATTCAGTAACTGAATTATTTTTACGTGCATGGATACAGTTAGCAATTTATTATCATATAAAATCTCTTACTCGGTGGATCCTAAATTTCTTATGGTCTTTACTTTAAGAAGAAAACACAAATATGCATATGTTTTAGTAAAAACTTCATAGAAATCAGTTACATTATTGAACATTAATTCTATTTCTTTGTGCAAGGTATCAAATACTAACTGTTACCCGCGACTTTATCTACTCTTTATTTCCATCCTAGGGACACAACCCAATGCAATATTAATTCACAATGAGCTGTTTAGGCATTTAAGCCTGTATATTTTACAAGCAGACATATAAGCTTATAATAGCTTATAAGAATAGTAATAATATTTCATTTATACTATTATATGTGCAGCATCACATCACTATGGCCTAAAGAATGTACAAGTGACACTAATATGTTCTGAAAAGGCAGCAGTCAAAGTACTTAATACTTCTATAACAATAAATGTCAAGCCCAAAGCGTATTCCAGCTAATTCCAATGACCTACAAATAGTATAAGAGTAGAACATGGCACTACTCATTGTTACAGTAATCCACATCTCAAAGCTGGCCATATTTTTTATCTAAAAGGTGTCACTAGTTGGTAGACATATAATCGATTAAGATAATGGTAATATTTTTAAATTATAAACGCGAAAGTTTCTGAGTATTAATGGATGGATGGTTGGATATTTGTTACTCTTTCACGCAAAAACTACTAAACGGATATTGATGTAACTTTACAATAATATAGCTTATACATCAGAAGAAAATATAGGCTATAAATAATACGCAGGTGAAACAGCGGGCACAGATGAAGTTATAAAATTTTTTATTGAAAATTAGATTGTGGAATTAACTACCTGCCAAGGTTTTTACACGGGACTACAGCATAGGGTCAAGAGTGTCTTTAGGGTCGGTAACGCGCATGTAACACCCCTGGTGCCTCAGGCTACAACAACCATCGACCATCAAATGGGCCGTGTGCTTGTTTGCCAACATAGCAGTATAAAAGAATAGAATATACAGCAGTAGAAAATGTTTATCAAATAAATTAGAGATTAAAAGGAACACCTTCCTGTATATAAACTCAAGAATTCATTCTTATGAATTGTATGTATGTAAGACTGTCTGTGTATTTACTTTTAAGGTTATATTTCGTGCAGTTCATGTTTATTGTATATAGGCGACAGTTACTATTTTCTCCATCACATGGACTGTCTGCTGGTTTAACATACGATATTTTATTGAAAAAAAAAATCGTTCTCAAGTAAATTACGAAAGGTGCAAATTATTTGACTACATTCATTAAGTCGTACAGAATCATAAATACTTGCTATATACTTTGCTTGGATCCAAGATCAGTCATTAATTGACAGGTTGAGATGTAGATGTTTATCGTAATAGGTCAGTTTTGAATTTTTGTAGATTCGATTTGCTAATAATATAAACACTATAATATCAGTATAACTTTTCTGTGTAAAATGTAGGTACGGCCGTCAATTCTGTAATACCCATGATACAAGCCGTTACTTAACTTAGTTTGCGTTGAGTGTAATTTAGTTTGATATAAGAATCTTAAATATAACTTTATCGTTGTCAATTTGTAACTGAATTATTCCCTCATATTTCGACCAAAGTCTTAAAAAGTTGGACGAGACCGAAATGTTGACAAATACTGTTGTTAAATAATGTAGAATATTATATTAAGTAGACAGTTAGTAAAATAAATTTTCAACAATGTAATTACCAAACCACGGTGCCAAGCACACATATTTTGAAATCTATTGACAAAATTCATATAAGTATTAATATACATTAAGTTACGGCATATTCTATACAGTATTTAATTTTATAATTATAATATATATATATATATATTACAATTCGGCGCTGTCTGGACACCGTTGAAAAATAATAAATATTTTTCAACAACAAAACAGCACATTATATATTAAATTTATCTAATTTAAAAACAAAATTGCTGAATCGACGTACAAAAATGACAAATGGAAGAAACAATACAACAGATATGATTATTTGAGATTAGTATACAATTATCAAATACTAGTCTTATTGTACATCAACTCAGCAAAATGAAATAAAAGTAGTCTTCAGGACTCTAGTGTGACGATCGGGTTTCGTTGTTACTTTTAAGTTTGTTAGGCGACACAAACCATAAGTTTATACAGAAATTTAATCTAAACATGGTCTATTAACGTAGATTCAAAAGCGTTGAAGGAATCATGAAAGTAATGTGCTCTACGAAACAATATCCCTTTCATTTCGCTGCAATGAAAAGGCTTATTATTTCTTAACAAATTGTGGGATAAAGAAGATTCACAATTGTTTTCGTGATGAATATCATATTTTAATATGTGATATATTTAAATCTGTCAATCTACTTTTTACCCACATTGTAATTTTTAATACATTTAGTGAGAAATAAAGTAAGTATTCCCTAGTTTTTTAAGGATCCTGAAAACTAGACATATTCAAAGTGTATAACCTAAAGAAATTACTTAAATGCAAGTATCAAAGATTTAGGTATACATTGTCAAGGTTATACGTCATCCACCACCTAATAAAAGCAAGAAAAGATACTGCATATATCTCTACACAGTTTAATTAATACAGTAAACATTATACTATTAGAGTGAAGTAAACATTTTTATAAATGAAATAATAGCGCATATTATCGTTGTCTTAAAACATTAAAAATATTTCTATTATCTTTTATCTCCCGTATTAAATAGTAAAAGAGTAAAATTTCTTTGGAGGATATTTTAAAAACACATTTTTAAATCAAATGTTACAATAGTAAATTATGTATGTATAAAACTTTACTTTAACTTTAAGCATTCTCTATCTAAAGCATTAAAGTATTAAATGATAAATATTCTAAAAATATATTTTATACAATAACGTCTTACGAGACTTCGAAGTAATTACCTTGGTATATTAAAGTAGATTAATATAAAATCAATATATTAAGAACGTCATTACCGGACTGAAAGCCAGGGTATTAAACTATTAGACAAGCCAAATTCATGAGATCCAATCTGACTAACACGAAAAATAATTTACTGTAATATGTCTAAAATATATGTTAATTGTTGCGTTCACCACGACGTTCACAAGCTACAAAGCCTCCGACTATCCAACCGAGACTGTAATTTAGACGTTGTATTTATAAGCAAAAATATTGTAAGTTAACTATTTTTTAAATCGGTGTTTCAAAATACTCTACCTATATATATCAATATTATAGAATAAACGGTGACATACATAGTACCCTATTACCATTTACGTAGAATAAGCTGTTATACTGTGTTTAATGTTAGCTCTGTACCCAATAATTAACTGGCGATACCTTTAACCCATTCATTATAAAAAAAGTAATTTTTGAATAGATTATTATCCTTTATACTAATGACAGAGTCTACTGCCATTTTATTTTCATTGTTATAACTTGGTTTATTTCATCTGAGATATCACCTGATGGAATGTGATAACCGTATATATACATGAATAGCGATATCAGCAATTATAAACAAATGATGGCCAGCCCACTCATTAATAATTTTGCTGATGTTCTATTTTATCCACACTGCATGGACCACCTTGGTAGGTGTATCATATATCTGGCTACGTCAATATTACTGCGTGTCGAGCTAAAATGTAGCATAGTCAATTTTACTAGGAACAACGCCTTAGTGTTATGTGTTCCCAAAGAAATTAATTATTTAAATGTGTTGTTTGTTTTAATTATATCTAAATTGCAAACTTTTTGTCAGTCTTCCGAGAGTATCGAAAAATATGACTGAATTTCAGAATTAATAAAAGAAACATCCACCTAAATCTATAATAAATGTTACACAGTAAAGTCGTCATAAAAACTAAAATAAATCTTTCAGTATAAGCAGCGACACCTAACAGACAACTGGTACTGTTCTGATTATTCAGCCAGACTTGCATATTCCTAAACCGGAGCCGGAGGCGGCAACAAAGCGTTAAAAACACAAAAGACGACACTTTTGTACTGTCTATATAGTACAATGCCATGGATACGATAAATCCGTACGTAGCCTATAAACGCCTGCTGTGAACCTAGTATCGGGCCCATGTTGAATGCATACTTTATGACAATCTCGAAAACAGAGATATAAAATCGTTATATATGTATGTTAGTAATCAATGCGTGTCTTCTTTTCAAAACTAGCAGGCAAGGACGTCTTCATATTTTGGATCAAATTAATTTAGAAGTGTATTGACTACATTATGATATTCTATATATGGGTAGGTACATATACTATATAGTATTATATTAATATAAAGCAACTTAAATAAAAATAACATGTATATAACTAAATAAAGAGCTTAAAATGTAATTACACTGGCTTCACATCAAAGGGAATTCTGAAATATTATTCATTTCAGAATTTAAATCCAGATGAAAGTAGTTACGTTGCAAAATTGTAAAATAAATACGTTCCGATAATTTCAGTTAAAAGCAATTTTAATTAAATTTATCCAATGATACCTCCGGCATAAAAACTGACAGTTTTAATTTGTTGGGAATGAGAACCGTCAGTAACAGAATGAAATAGTCCGATCGATATTGTCCGTATGAAGTAATCATGTTGTATGCATTATGTATATTAAAGTAATATACTTTATAATTACATGAATAACGCTGAATATTAGAGTCAGCGGTGAGTAGAATATATAACTAACTTTCAAGGATCTAGGTAAAGATGTTTCATAGCATTGCACAGCCCATCTTGTCAGACTGAAACAAGCTACTTCTCAATAAATGGCCTAGTTGTGTCTGTCCCAAAATACCTCCAATCGAATCGAAACGTGGCCTACTAGTTTCCAATACCAAATTACAGACCGGAAATAGTCGAGATCGAACTTGGTAACCACACAAAGCGTTGTGCGGCATAAATCCATTAACGGATAACACGACAACAACCACATTAATTACAGATATTTGACATAGACATTGTACAAATTGGTGGTAACCTATATTTTTGGCGCCAAATAGCTTGCTTTGTAAGCTGTGTTTCGGTTGAAGGATGAGATAAAACAGTGAACATATAGAAAATGGAGGCATGACATTAAAGATTCATACATACATATTTGAAATTATTAGAGAATTATCCAGCGATGGTAACGCATGAGGGGATAACAATTAAGAGTCATTTAGTGCTCTTCATGTACATTGGTCACATTTAATATTTAAGATTCGATGGAACGCCAGCTTGTTGACCTTTACCGGTTAAAATTTTAGTGTTGTGTGTATTTTTTAACGCCACATAATAAAAAAAAATGTTTAAGAATAAAAATTGAAAAAAAATATTTGGTGTCAGCCACCCTTAACACTTAGTGGTATAAAAATTAATTATAAACCTATTCTCAGACCTACTGAATATACATATAAAATTTCATCGAAATCGGTCCACCCGTTTCGGAGGAATATAATCACGAAACCTGTGAGATGAGAATTTTATATATTAGATTAATCTCCGTGAAAGAAGCGACTGTTGCATTCACCAGTTGTCAGCTGATAACGGCTCGACTACGCCGTCCGGGACCATAATCGGGAAGAAATGCATTTATGTACCCCGGGGGATATGTTGAGTCGTTTATGTAAACTTGTGTCTCTTCTGCCGTCAAGTTAAGATTATGAAAGTTGTATTTCAGTTCGTAGATAGGTAAAGCACAGAAATTATATGGTACGACAGTATAACAACTTGATCCTCAGAAATGGCAACAAAATATAAGCACCACGGCTTCCTAATGTATTATTATATGACGCCGAAGTGGTGCAGATAACTTTTCATTATGTAGGCAATCAGCTTGTTTGCCAATGATATTTAAAATATATATATTGTAACAAGAATTTCAAATAACCCTACAGCTGTATTAATTCTATATTAATAATGCAATGTAATTACAAAAATAATTTAAAAATGGAACGTCACCATAGGTTGCCTTACATCCAAATTGTAAGTGTTATGTCTTAATTGAATAAAAAGATTTGTCGAACCTACGATAGGTTCCTCCTTTCTTTCTATTTCAATACAATAATTAATATTTTTGAAAGTAGCGTCATAAGCACTGTTAAGTGTATTTTAATAATTTAGCTGAATAATGACGTATTAACTGTTATGTATTTATTTAATGTACATATATATTAACGAAGGGTTTAGTCATGGATAAAATATGCATATTAATGTACAAAATTAATAATATTGAACCATTTCCACACGTGTTTTTGGTAAATTGTAATAATTATAGATGCATGATATAATAATTGTTATAAAAATTGTTATTTATATATAATATTGCATAATAAAAATACAAACCTCTACAGAGTCGTTCATGATTCCTTTGTTAAAAGCAGTAAATAGAAATTTGCTGACTATTGTCATTGTTAATGATAATAGCAATAAGTCAAATTTCAAAACATGGTTCCGAAAATTATTCAGTGTCCCGATATCTTTAAAAATATAATATTTATGTTTTAAATGTTTTAATACAATTCTTTCTTTATTCACGATAACAATTTCCAGAACCATGCAGAGCAGCCGTTAAATAACCAAGAGCATGATGAGAAAATACCACAATCTGATCAAAATATATAAATAATACACGTTATTGAACGTACATATATTGTATATTATTACGAAATTAAAACCTTATTATCGCATCATACTAGTTCGAAAGAAAAAAGAAGTCCGATTAAATATTAAGTTAAGTAAAATAATTGATGTCTAAAACAATATACACTAGTTATCAAATAGAACGACTATTATTCACATAAACCAAAAAAAAAATAAAAGTGCAACTAGCACCAAAATTAAATTCGTTGATCTCTTGGTGAAATATTCCAAATTTCCGTGGTTTAATCACTGACGACAGTGAATTTAATAATAGAAAATGATAATCTTTAAGTAAACTGTATTTTCAGCCAATTTCAAATTGTCATAGCATACTCTTTTCTGGTTAACTAACGTGAAGTTATTTCTGTAGAATACCTGATGCAAGTAGATAATAAACGAAATGTTTATCTATCTATTCTAAGTATCTTTTCATTTTTGCTTTTAAATATTTAATCCGACCACAATTTACCATATTATTAAATGTATAACAAAGAAAAGATGCAGTACATACCTGCTGGTCCCAGAAATACATGAGAGAGTTGACGCGTGATTCGTTATTGTTATTAATAGCTTGTTGCATCCACATCATGTCCGGAGCAGTGCTGGGCTGGCTCCATAGTGATTCCACCTGGAAAGAGGCAATATTATACAATCTGCTTAAATATTCTAGAGACCAGCTGTATCCGACTGATTTCCCGCTCGATATCGCAAATTACTAGCCAACTACGTTATTGGTCCTAAAAATAAAACAACTCATCAAATATTCTCGGCCCTACTGTTCGATACAGTAAAACAAAAAGAAATACGTATTAAATACCGACATGATTTTTTTATTTAAATCTTTTTTATTACACCGTATCAGTAAATGCAATAACACACGTTCGAACCACACAACGGATTCCGTATTCAATCGTGCGAAGGACAGTTGAGGTCTTGAAAATCGTGACGTCACTATGAAGCGCGCACAACTGCATTTTTAAATAAACAGCCGCCGAAAATTATTTGCGTCGCAATTAGAAACGTAATAATTTAAATAAACGCGAGAGAAACTGATTTTATACCTCTATTATGAATTATTCGCGTACTGATAGCACGGAAACAATTGCACGGTGCAGCGAACGGTGCAGCCGTGTGGTTTCAAGAGCGGACCACATCGCATAGTAACTTTAATCGGTGCATTCGAACAAAGTTCAGACGTGTGTTATAGCTATAAAGCTTACATGTCTGATGGAGGGCAGGTGCGGGGAGGCATAAAAGGGGATGCGTTCTGGCGAGTTATCGATTTAAGTTGACCGACTTACAGATGATTACTGTTCCATCAGTTTCCGAATGAGAGAATTAATTTCTAGTTATTAAAAACGAGTTTAATTCGTGTAATTTCAAAATTTAAATAAATATTATATAATTATGATTAAATATTACATAAAAATCACATTACAAAATGGAAGCTTGCAACTACGAACTTTACTACTAAATTACAATTCAATTTTTCCACTGCGGACGATATTTGAACGAAATTCAATTCAAATAACGCAGTGCAATGAATGTAGTCCAGAGTAAAAATATGTCATTGAAATATAGTTCGTTCCGACCGTATATTAGGTCCCTACAGGCCGATTGAAAAGAAGTTTGTACTAGAAAATGAACAAACTTTTGTTTGGAACTTTTGATTTCCCATTTGGTACATACCTGATTTGAAATTTTACAATTGTTTCTGAATTTCCATAAATTACATACATTCGAATAGTCACATACTGTTTTTTTGTTAATTTTACTCGTTTATGGTAGAAATAAATAGCTTGTGAATGTTACGTGTAACGTCAGTAAACTTATGTTTAGGTAGAGCAAGCGAAACACGACACGACAGATTTGGCGCCAGATCGGGTGGCCCAATCAGTCACATCCTGACAAATCCGTACGTGAGTGACACTAGTTGAGTTAATCGAGTCGACATGCTTGTGAGTGCAGAAAGAACGCACGATCACAGGATGCATCACCATAACCAATCAAGTGTCATATCACGTTGATAGGCACTTTTAAACAACAGGGAGTCATAGTATGAACATATTCAACAGACAATGTGTTGAAAAAAAAAGAAAAACAAACATTTTAAAAATGGAACAAAATTGAATGGAACAAGACTGATCGTACAAGTACGAGTTTGTGGTGAAATAAATTATACAATAATAATAACTATGAAAACAGATACAATAAGATGACAACTAAATTAAAAGGACCATCTTGAATAATTCATCATCTCAGCCTGGAAGACGTCCACTGATGAACAAAGGCCTTCCCAAAAGAACTCCATGACGATCGATCCTATCTTGAATAATTACGAAGATAATATGACATCAGTCAGCACAAAGTACGCGAATAATTTTTTTTTTAAATTATTAAAATGAGCGATTTTTTTTATGCGGGCGCATTAAAAAAATCTCTCGTAATAACAGCTGTACAAAAAAATTGTGATATTTTATATAATAAAAAAAACTAGCGGTACTTGCCTTTTACGGCTGGGTTGAGCAATATAACACATAATATATACACATCTACAACAAAGTACCTGTCAAACAAGTGTTCTTTCATCAGCTATTCTTATAAATTTCAGAAATACCTTACACATACATAAAACTCAGAATATCCGTATTCTCTTACATTCCAAGGGAGTTAATATTAATCACATGATAACCCTATGGAGCAATAAAACGCATATAATGAATGAAACTTTATTTAAAACACGTTTAAGGATAGGTTTAGGAATTATGAAGGAATAAATAAATGTACCATCACATACAGCCAGCTGAAAACATAACCCTTCGTAGTCGAGTAAAAACAAATACAGATATCGGGATAACATTACCATATGTGGTGGTGGATTCATAACTTCGATGGGTCCAAAATGCAAATCCAATGGTCTTGTTACATTGACCACCTAGAACATACAACTTAATTGAACATTTTCAATCTATCTATACTAATCGGTGATAGTATACTTGTTTACTATACACTTTTGTTGCCAATTAAACATGGCTGCCCACATTTTAAACATTTATTTTCGTTATCCATCCAATTATCTTGTATTTTTCCTATTTTATATATTAAAGTTACAATACAATGCATATGTAACCCAAATAAAACCAATTATTTTCAATAATTAAAAATATTTGTTTGTGTAACAAAAAGAAGTCTGCGTTCAAAATAAAATTAGAAGTGAAGTAATGAAATAGACTAATAAAAATGAGGAATAATTAAGCAAGACAATCAAAATTAAAGTCTTACAACATCAACAACTACAAACATGCTACTTTTTATGGCAAATATTAACCACAATTTTAGATAATTGTTAATAACGAAATGGCAGTGTCTACAAGAAAGAAGAACAGCATTCTAAGCCAACAAAAATAAAGTACAGATATGAAACATGTCATTTTTTCTGTATATTGCACATGTATGTAGAATATTACAAGTAACAAGGAGTTATATTCATTGACACTGAGAAACCAGGCTACGGTCATCTGTTGATTTAACTCGGAAAACCCTAGTCAATTTAAAGAGGTTATTGCTGAGATTGGAGTGGCCGACAACCGATCCCCTCGAGGACAGGATTGATTCAATTGTCGGTCTTTTCTTTAAAGTCATAAAGTCGGACTTACCTTTAAATACTCGATGCAATACCTGCTCGTAATATCCTCGGTCATTATAGTTGCGGATATAGATATCGATTTTAAGATTAGACATAAATACCTGTATATAAATACTACCTATGTCCGCGGCTTCACTCGCGTGAAATTTATTCTGATGTATAAGCTATATTTACAGTACAATTTCACCAAAATTAGTTCTGAATTTATTGCGTGAAAGGGAAACAAGCATCCATTCATCTTTCTATCCATTCATCCTTCTATCCATCCATATTCACAAACACTCTTATATAACAATATAATAAGTACTTTAAAATGCAACTTAAACCTCTCAGAATTCTTAGGATGAGGTTTTATGTGATATGTATATTATTTTTTTAATTTATTCATTCCCGATTAATTTTGAGAGAAAAGATAAACTATTACCTGCTCATGGGATACGATACAAAGAGGATATACAAGCAGACACATTTAAATGTTTATATTTGTATGGATATATCCTAAAAATTATAAACACACATTTTAAATGTAACTGCATTGGGAAACAAGTTGATGGTCTACATGTTGGGTAAGTGGCCACCATTGACTGCGTTAATATCTGTTGCCACTGCAATATAAACTTCAAGAACAATTCACACAGATGTATTGTATTAGACGACTGATACAAATACCTAAATCCGAATGTCTCCGCAGAATACCAGTGTCGTGGCACCCTGTCACGACATATGCTGAGAGTAGACCTATTTGGTACCAAAGTAATCCAATATATAATTTAAGAAATATTTTTGTTATTGTTATGTGTATTTTCTTCCTATCTTTCATTTCAAATACCATTTATGTAAATACATAACAATATGCATAGAAATCATGATCACTAATACAAAATATACCTACGAATTAATTTCGCCATCCGTAGCAAAATTTATACTGAAATAGTTTCAAATTTTCTTCATGTACAAAATCTTTCACTCCTATTTGACCTCCTTCCAAATTATTTGAGATAAAACACACCTGTATCATATACAGTATTTAAACACTTTACAACAGTTTATCCGTTCAGATGTTCGGTAATGAAAAGTTAACAGTCAGTAGAGACTTAGTATGGACAATGTTTTTATTTTTATTTTAATTGCTGCTTTACACCAAACACAAGGTACAAACATACTTGTAGTACAGGTCTACCATCCATACAGTCTGCGACTGGTCTTACATGGAGCAAAAACTGGGTAAGTGTGGGGAGCAAAGCGCCACCATTCAATTCAAAGAGCTAAGACGCAATTCTATGTATTAAGTTTCAAAAGAGTTGGGGTATTGAACAATACTAAAAGGTAGGTTACAATACAGCTCGCACAATCATAACATGCGGCCTTATAAAATCATGAAAGAAGATTGCTTTTATGAGAATAAATTTTCTGATTGGGCTTCAAAAGCTGTATTGTGTATATTGTAACATGTTGCACAAAAGATATAGGTCAATCTCCGTTTAGTGCAGATAAATCAATTCAAAGATCGGTATAGCCGCAATCATGTAATACACGTTTTGCCCTCTACGAGACCGTTAAAGACATTCTGTTTAATTTTAGAAGAGCTATACAAAAAGAAACATGTTCTGTTTCGGTTGGGGTAAACTGTTAGGATCGCCGATTATCTCCAATGTATTTTTAATATGAATTTTTAACACTAAGTTTACTGCGTCAATTCACTCGATTATTTACAGATTTAGATATTAACGCAGCGTATATATATAAATTGCACAGGATCAGGACACACTTCGATCCTTTAAACTAGCTTCAATTGTTTTTATCAAACACAAGGTTTAAATCAAGTAGATTGAGTGCATCCGCCCCTTTGCATTCACGATTGTCAGAGATGGAAATCAATATCTAGATATATACTGTCCAGCATGTAAATAACTTACACAGATACGAAATATACCATATTATTAGGGTTTAATAATATCAACTAGTGTTGCTCTATTTTTATCGGAAATATCTGATATCTGATAGAAATATCTGAAACGTCACTTGAGAGTTGTCAACCAAAAATCCTGATTCCATTCGTCTGAGGGTTTTATTCACCGCATAAACACTAGGAAACAATTTGACTGCGGTTTCTCCAGTCCGGCAGTATTCGAACACGAAATCATGCAATGTCTTTGTGTTTTATTATAAAATTTAATAGGTTTTTATATGTATATTACTAAAAATAAACATTTCCATGCCATCAAATAGTCCTTAAATATTTTCTAAAGCATGCAGGTGTATTGCGCGGATAGGGAAGTAACTTTAATAAAATAAATAATAAATAGAGACATACAGATAAATAATAATAAAAATGCTCATGAATTAATTTCTATAATATAAAATAAATAAATAATCCCAGGACAACCATATAATCCAAAACAAAGAGCTTGACCTCACAGGTACTATAATAACTGATATACATTAAATACATTTTTGAGAATATTCACAATACATAGTAAACACCCAGATATACAAATATTGATATAATAATAGACTAAAACTATCATACATATTAATAAATATGAATACAGGAATCGAACCTGCTAACAATGAAGAAGAAACACCAAATATATACATATGTATCTATAATTTGTTGTACAGAAATTAATTAAAACAGGCAGTAAAGTCATACCACGCCCATTGTTAACTTGAACACCATAAATAGTTACATACCGAATCCAATCCAAGTGGAGTATTCATTATAGAATCATGCGGTCCCTGGGGTCGCGACTCAAATGGACTATTCATGGGGAATGGAGGCATTAGGTCCTGGATAGAACAATTTTATTAAACTAGACAGTCTACAATTTCATTTTAAAACTTATATCTTACAAGTATGTTAATGAAATATAAAATAAATAACACTTCTACTTCTTTTAAGAAATTAACATATAAAACCTAAACTATGTTCTCTATTCATAAAAAGTATTTTTTTACAACTGAGAATAAGTAGTATATATAGTAGTATAGTATACATAATATTAGCATAAAATGTGTAGACTTACCATTTGAGCAAACGGTACAATTGGACCGTAGCTGGCTAATGGACGCAAGTGTGTTTCATAAGCGCGCCGAACCATTAAGTTAGGTGGGAAAAATCCAGCCTTATACCAACTGTACATCTCCTTTGATGTGAAAGGACCTTGAATTATTTTCTGTAAACAAAAAACATATACATTATTAACAACATCAATGCAATATCAATCCATATATGGGAAAGGGTACAGCAATTTTGAAAGTCAAGTAGTTTTAACATTTAAGCCTCGGTCTATATACAATACAGACACATTGGAAGCCGGTAGGAGAGAATTGTCAGTAATTGAGCCTCTTGACCCTTCGCTCACAATTGCTCTGACGTTGATCAACCAAGACAAGTCATTATTTAATTTGCACACAGAGAAGAAAATAGTATAATAGAATAGAAAAAATAATAGTACTAGAATTCCGTAAAAAATGGTTACTGTACAACCAACTTTCAAAATGGAATTCTAGAATAATATATACCTTAGGATCCTCGTAAAACCACTGGTCCACTAAGTTTTGTGAACTAGGTTGTCCCTGTGGTGGCATTTGTTGCATCATGTTCCCATACATTGAATTGCCAAACGATTGTGATGACGAGTGCTGCAGACCATGCATTGGAAACAGATTGTTTTGGCCGGGAAGGTTCTGCATCTAAAACAAACAATATTATTATTAGTTATTACAGTTTTATATTAGTACTCATGATTGGAGATTCCAAAGTAAAACAAAACATTCGAAGTATTTACTTTACAAACACAACAAAATTATATTATAACACTAGCTGTTCCCGCGACTTCGTCCGCGTGGAATTTAACTTTGTTTTTCTAAAATAAAAGTAGCCTAAGTTACTCCTTATTACAACAGCTACTTGCCAAAAAAAGTCCCGTTAAATCGGTCCAGTAATTTCAGAGATTAGCAGGAACAAACAGACCGACAGACAGACAGACAGACAAAAATTGTAAAAAGTGGTTTTTTGGTGAACATTTATATTCATATACATGAAGTAACAAACGGATATTTCAATATCACAAACAGACACTCCAATTTTATTTATATGTATAGATGTATAGATTAAAATTCAATCATTAATAGTGTTAAGTGTATTTTTTTATAAAAACCTTTATAAAACTATCTTTATCTTATTGTTTTTCTATACAAGCTATATATATACTGAACATTGCCAATCATATTTCTTGGCAGACAATAAAAATACAATGAATACAAAAAACTTACCCCAGATGGTGGCGGGTTAGTATTTTGATTCAAGAATAGAGAATTATTGGCGAGATTAAGTGACTGATTGCCCATTCCTGATAGACCGCCACCTGATGGAAAACCGCCCATTCCTGGACCGCTGGGCTGCATACCCGCTCCCATTCCTGGACCGCTAGGCTGCATGCCCGCCCCCATTCCTGGACTGTTGGGCTGCATACCCGCTCCCATTCCTGGTCCGCTGGGTTGCATACCTCCACCCATTCCTTGTCCGCTGGGTTGCATACCCCCTCCCATTCCTGGTCCGCTGGGTTGCATACCCCCTCCAATTCCTGGACCACCAGGTTGCATACCGCCTCCCATTCCTGGGCCACCTGGTTGCATACCCGCTCCCATTCCTGGACCACCGGGTTGCATACCTCCTCCCATTCCTGAACCACCGGGTTGCATACCTCCTCCCATTCCTGAACCACCAGGTTGCATACCTCCTCCCATTCCTGAACCCCCGGGTTGCATACCTCCTCCCATTCCTGAACCACCGGGTTGCATACCTCCTCCCATTCCTGAACCACCGGGTTGCATACCCCCACCCATTCCTGGACCACCGGGTTGCATACCCCCGCCCATTCCTGGACCACCGGGTTGCATACCCCCGCCCATTCCTGGACCACCGGGTTGCATACCTCCGCCCATTCCTGGACCACCGGGTTGCATACCTCCGCCCATTCCTGGACCACCAGGTTGCATACCCCCGCCCATTCCTGGACCACCGGGTTGCATACCTCCCATTCCTGCAGATAGCATACCTGCACCCATGTTTGTATTGTTAATATTCGAATTTGATAGCATAGGTGGTGGTACTCCTTGTAGTTGCATACCTATATTTGAACCCGAGGATGGAATTGCCAAACCCAATGATGCGGATAGGGCTGAGTTTGGTATACCGACTTGCTGCATACTAGACATTGCCATTCCAGGCATAGGAGAAGCCAGCATAGACTTATTCATTGCCAAACCTTGGTTGGTATGTACGGGACTAGTCATTCTCATTTGCATATGGGAATTTCCCATTTGAGCCATTGATGTGATTACTACCATTCCAGGAGCCATGGCAGCACCTGACGAGTGCATTATCGCACCAGCAGTAGACATCTTTGGAATATTCATCGGATCCTTGTCCTCTAAAGTCATGTCAAATAATTCTTCAACTATCTTATCCTCTGGCATTACCAGCTGATTGCGCATTTCATATTCACTGAAAAAATACTATAAGCTGCATTTCATTCTATCCTTACAAAAATAACGCTATTATCACATAATTAAGGGCAAGTTAAAAAAACTAGCATACTCACAAACACAAAAGTTTGTGAGTATAGATTGATGCATGGAAAAACTACTGAATGCAAAAACTACTCAACGGATTTTAATGGAACTTTACAATAATGTCGCTCATACATCCGAAATAGATAGGGTATAAAATAAAAAGATACTATTATGTATAATGTCCTAAATATAATGATAAATGTCAAGTAAATTGCAGATGAAAGGTGCGCGGGTCAGTTAGTACAGAATAAAATATTGTATAATAATTAAAGTTGCAAGAGAACTATAAAAACTATACAATTTACGTATGACTACAACGCTAGATAAAAGAAAAAGATCCCTGCTACAGAATGGATGAATGTTGATTATATTTCACTATATTTTGCACAGAAGTTGAAAACAGAAATGTGCTTACCTATCAGTGAAGCTACTTCCACTGGGCAATGACATTAAATTCAACATCATTGGTGACCTATGTGTTCCCATATTAGTTAATCCATCTGGAACCACTGGTACTAAATTTTGGTGTTTCTGGCGCAGAATATTGTTTGCCGTAATCATAACAGATTGGAAGTTACCAGGTTCCTCTGTAACTTCTTCCACATTAATATCAGATCGAGCCATTGAATCAAAAGTCTTACTATCCTTGAATTCCACTTTTAATTTACGCTTTCTGAATTTTTCTTCCTCAGGTATCGTATTTTCATTGTTTGACATATCTGATGATGAGGTCTCCACTTTCTCTGACGCAGCTGATGTTTGTGGATCTTCCCTGGGTGGGGTCCTTGCATTTGATGTGGATGGTATGGGCTCCATTCCAGGTGTTGCTGGCTGTAATTATAATTTTTTGTTATATTCACACATTAATAATTTTACACTTAATTAAACAGCTACATAATAAATACTTGGAAATGAGCGTTATTTTTTTTAACTCTATTAATACCATGGGACATATACCTTTTTATTAAATTTTATGTCGCTAGCATCAAATTTCTTTGTGGACAGTTTCTTTGCCTTATCTGAAGCCCACCATTCTTCAGAGCCTTCTTCCACTGGTGGTTTTGACCGAGGAATATTACCATGCGTGCGGGACCGTCTAAGAGCTGAAATTATATCTTTTATAAATATATCAAATCCATTGATTCTAATTATAAGTATATTTTCATTTTACTTACAGTGGGAATTATCTTGTGGTTTAGGCAGATTAGTATCATCATTGCTGTAACCATGAAAGGCTCCCGTAGAATCAAAGGTACCTCCACATGCTTCATCATTTTCCATGGCCCTGTTATACAAAATAATAATTTATATTATTACCACACTACTACAACGAATACAATTTTTCATGGAGAACATTTTCAAACACCTAAAGCACTCTCTGCATCAGTATTTCAATTATAACGTGTGACTTGAGTCGACTTGATTGTCATTGTTAATATAGAATGACTGTGATCTAAAATATATTAACCACTAACACGTAATAGTCACGATTATTATGACAAATAACGAAATGGAGAAATAATTAAGAATCCACATATCCACTACACAATGAATGTTACTCGTCAACTACTCTGGTTTTGAAATATACTTTTGCAATGAGCTTATAGTATACGCTATAGTAGTGGTCTCTCGTGGATAGAAAAGTATTCTATCCACGAGAGACCACTACTTCATAACAACGTCACCATTCATCTTCACCCCCAGAAAATACGAGTATGAAAGACGAAATACAACACTATCACAAGCAAGCAATAGTTAGTCTTTTACACATACCACTCAGGCAAATCGTCGTTCTGCTGGTCGCCACCTAGCCATGGCCGACGATTCGAATTCCATTTCTCCTGGGATTTATCCAAAGGTTTTTCCCCCCAATCTCGCTCTCCTGGTACTAAAAGATTAAAATAATGTAAATATATATTCTTACTTCTATTCTCCACTATAAGGAACTGATTAGTTATAATCCACTTTACGGTACACTGAAATTAATACATTGAGGTTTGTCATGTTTGTCTACTTTTCTTATTTTAAACACCAGACAACAGAAAAATTACTTAAATAATTACAATATCAATCAACGTCTTCAGCCACATTTTATTATGCATAGTATAAGTCATATAATAATCTTAAATGACATGTGACAAGTCCTTAACTATTAATTTTATCATTTATATATTCCGACTTATGAAAGCAGATGAAAGGACAAACACCAATTTTTCATCGCCAATAATTCCAAATCCAATACAGATTGTGACAAATTAATTTGCAGGCAACATGTCTTGCATTTATTTCTATTTATACCAATATTATCAAAAGTTTACATGACACCTCTAATATTATTAAAATTATTTAACTAGCACCACATACCTTTTATACATGTATATTACGAATTTTAAATAGCATGTATATAAAAAAATGATGAATCAGTAATTTCAAATTAAGAACTAACCTCGATGGGGGTGCTCACTCCACCTGTCGTTATGGTTTCGGGGCCGGCCCGTGTCGGATGACCTCCACCCCTCATTTTCCTCGCGAGCTTGTCTCCAATTAGTGTTGTGACCATGCCGTTTACTTTTAAGAAAAAATAAAATCACCATGATTATATAGTCAAACTACAAATGTTGAAGTAATATAAAGACTATTGAAGAAAAGTGAAAGAAAATCTATATTTATCCTAACTTATAAATCGTGTTACTAATTACCGCGAAATCTACTCGTATGTACTGTATTGCGATCCAGTTTCACCTTACCGATATTCATATTTCCATAATAATAATTCATATTCATTATAATCATAGATTAATATTATACATACTTCCTGTACTGTTTGTTCCAGTCTGCTTGATCGTTTACATTTCTGCCGGAGTAATTGCCACCATTACTTGAACTCCATGGACGTTGAGAAGCGTTATCCTCGTCTGGATTGGTGAATGGTTCTCTCCCAGGTGCCCTCGAGGTCCCCGAATACCATGGGCCCCTACAGACATAAGTGTTACATATTGTTTACTACCGCACACATACATACAGTCTAACATCATACTTGGTACAGTAAGTAAACAATATTAGCAGCGTTTCATCGATATAACAATGCAATTCATGAATAAATAGCCAGTATAAAATAGCCATTTAATCACTAATAATTAACTTACTCAAGCATACGTCGCTTCAGTTAACTCAAACATTAAAACACATACATGGGAATAGTTCAGTCTAGTTAATTATGTCCTCGCAAAATACACACGTCTCACCCGAACTATTCTTTGAATACCTGTATATTACCAGTGATTATCAGTTGCATGCGTTTATTAGATACGCTACACAAAGAATCCCGTTCCTATGCAGTAATTTTAAAACAATAGTTTTGTTGGGTTTTCATTTACGACTTTGCGATTCATTCTATAATTATACGTTCCACTCTGTAATCTAGGCTGTATAGTCCTCGGAGTAACCCTTAGCATTAATTCTATTTCACTGGTAGTTTTAATAAACACGTAACGTAATACGTACTTTGATTTAATTGTCGCTGTGTAAATAGAAACTTGAAGCGATTCTCGAACGTAAACAGTTTTTCCATATTAAATATCTACCTTGTTAAATCATTACGATTTTAGTACACTATAAAGAGCGTCTTTAGTTTAGTTATTTAACTACCTACTCGCCCCGGCTAGGCACAGGTGCACATGTATTGTATATATTTATATAAACTTTCCTCTTGAATCACTCTATCTGTTAAAAAATCACTTCAAAAACCGTTGCGCTATTTTAAAGATTTAAGCATACATAGGGACAGACAGCGACAGCGACTTTGTTTTATACTATGTAATGATGATGTTTCAAATATCCTCCCACTTTTTTTTTTGATGAAAATAGAATGGTGCACTCGCCTGCGATAACTGTATACGCTGGCAGAACAGAACTACTAGAGGAGAACTATGAGTATGAGCTCGGGTCAGTTAGCCCATTGAGAGACAATTTAAACAAAAAAACTAAAATGATGGTTTCCAGGAGAAACTGATTGTCAACCTGATATGGTACATTGCTTTAGGGTCAACACTCCACATTACCACTCCCCTTCCCTACTCATGATATTTAACAATGTGATCCAATAGATATAACACTTTCAGCAAAATCAATGTAACACTCACCTTCCAGACGACGTATGACGAATAAAGGGCATACGAGGTCTACCCCTGTTGTCCACCATAGGCACACCTCGGGGCCCTCCACGGTTCTGATTGTACCTATCATTTCCTGGGCCGTGGTGACCGGGAGGCGGACCGCTTCTCATATTTATGGGCTGTGGTAACCAAATATATGTCGTCATTGTATATACTTTATATATCTGTTTTAAACGCAAGATCAATAATTTATGTCTCAGATACAACATTTTAACTAAAATTAATAGAATAGAAATTAATAAAAGATAAATAAGAAAAAATATTATACAATTGCAATTTAATAAATAAATAAGAGCGAATATAAAATAAAGAGAGTTTTATTAACTCACTCCGTCTTCTTGAAATGTGGTGCTATGTAGAGCCAATGGCGTTTTCCCGCGTATTTGATAAAGAAATTCGTTATGTTTTAATTCTTGTGGAGCCTCTAGGGTTCTGTCATACATAGATAACATTTCTTCTCTGCCATATCTGTTTTAAACAAAATCATTGTTAATTCTATTTATTCTTGTTATCAATAACATGCGAAAGTGAAATTACCAAGAGATATCAAACTTCTTGGACCAGCTGTTCCAGATGTTATTAATTAATTACATATTTTTTTAACTCAAATATAACTGTATTCAGAACTTTATTCTGAAAAAAAGTTATTTTAAGTTCTTAACGCTGAATATGCGTACATTGTGTGATTTTATATTTAGTGATTTTATTGCTATGCAATCTTTTACAGACAACCTCAGGTTATAGAAAATGGTACATGCGTGGGTTGCATGACGCACATCTATACTAATATTATGAAGAGGTAAAGGTCTTGAATTTGTGAAGTTATTATCTCCAGAACCGATGTTGAAAATTGCTTTAATGTTGGTCAACACGCTATAGGCTATGTAGTATCCGCTACGACCAATAGGAGCGATGCTGCAATAAAAAACTAAAATATGCCGCAGTAGTTCCACAGGTCAGCTAGTAGAAGACGATTAGTATAAATTTCATTGTGTACATATATACATACATTATAGTATTTACTCATAAATTAATAAATTAAACAAAACCTTAAGTGGTTATTTAATTTAGGGTTTCATTATGTCAAAAGCAACTAAAGTGATTAGCAGCGAATAAAAAGATTCAGGTAGGTTTTTTAAAAAATAAAAACGCAACGCTTATTAAAGGCGAAGTTTAAATAACAACTGAGGGAGAAAGACAGAGATAGATAGAGAGAGAGAGATAGAAAATACAAGTTCAGTAGTACAGATTTCTAAAGTGTAATCATTTTTATATTCATATATTTCATTTTTTATAAGAATATCATGATGTGACTGGTTTGTAGATCCATGTGCGTACTTGTGTGATTTCAAAGTGTCGATTTAGATTCCGGAACCAAAACGGTTAGTTAAATTAGGACGAAATGTTCACGTAACATGTTTTTAACAAAGCTCAACTTAATGTTGAGTAGGAGAATTAATTAAATATTTTTATTTTTATTTTTTAAGTAACACAATATTTATAATTTGCAACCTATTATTATATTCTTAATTTATTGATAAAATATCACAGGGCGTCGTATAGATGCTTTAATTTATCGTTTGACTAACAACAGATAGTCAAGAAATGCTCACGCGCACGAAATTGTCGAAAGTTCATGGTCAATATAGGTAAACAAATAATAATAAAGGGTAGTTCTGCAGATTTTATCAATAATAAAAGGAAAACGCACTACATATTGTATGTAACTGTAGCCAACTCATACGCGTACGGGAATATCTTCTTCGGAAAATTCTAACACGATGAAATAAAACAGATTGCACCTAAAGACATCAGGAATTAATAGCGAACTTTAAAATTGGGTGAGCACAAAAGGTGTATTCAAGGTGGCATTGCTATCGTTCTGTCAAATCCAAAATAACCCTAACATGAACACGTAATTATTAATCACTGTGATGACATATTTCTGGATTTTTACCTCCGTCTGTAAATTACCGTAAATGACGTTCTACTACAACTATTTGATGTTCCAGTGGTAGAAAAATACAATTATTTACGACATATTTTTTTTAAAGTTTAATATTACATAAAATAACCGTATTGTGCGCATTACATAGTAGCAATGTTCCTTGATGAGAATATGACGAAAGAAAAAAATTCTATGAAAGACACTGTTTGAAATCGTCTATTACAATAAAAAATGTTAAAAATCAACGTTTAATTCTTTTCCATGAAAACAATACCCATTTAACATACCGAAGCTTGGCCAAGCGGACTTTTGGCGTTGATCCTGTAGAGTTTGATGTAGAGGCAGCTGCAGCCGTGGATGTAGACGCAGCCGCTGATGAAGATGTGGATGTGGATGTACTGGTGCCTGGTGTAGGCGCACGGCTGGTAGGGGCCGCTGTGGCGCCACTGCTAGGAGTGGCGCTGGCAGAAGCGCCTGTGCCGGCGGCTGGACCGCCCGAGCTGGGCCCGTTGCCAGCTATTCCTGACTGATTATTTTGATTTGATGAACCGGCACCTTCAGGGTTACTCGATATATTTCTAAGCCATTCCGGACCAAACATAATGGGATTCTTCCGATCACCCATTATAGAAGAATTTGTTTGAAGAGTAAAAGTCGAAAAGAAATTAACAGAAGACGGCTGCAACTGAAATAATATATAGTTTAAATTAAGGAGGATTAATTATTTCTTTTAAATAATTGATAATATAAATTTAAAGATGTTTTATGATAATAAAAATAAAATAATAAATACTCGTTTTCACTAGACTGTATAGTTTTAAAAAATGTTTTTTAATTAAGACGTCTAGCTAGCTATTGAAAGATACTGTAATTTATTTAGTTTACAAAAGTTTAAAGAAGAAATTCTTATATTTGTATTTAGAATGTTTAATATATAAAGAAAGTGTTTCGATGATACGGTGTAGCTAACCTGCTTACTATCGTGATCCTAAGCTCCTAAAAATATAAATAAATAAATAGTTTCAACATAGAAATGTATTTATATTATATCAAAAAGTCATATTTCCTTACTTTTATTCCTTATAAACACTAAAAACCACATATCTAAAATGAATTGATTTAATAGTTTAAAAAAGATCAACACATTTTTTAGTAACTTTAAAATAGAGAGTAGGTATTTTATATCACTAACATTTCATAAACTACATGATATTTTTAATGATACATTCACTGGGATGATTATTTAATGTGCACCTCCTTTAATGTTATACCAGTAGTGGGGCTGTGATGATGATATCAGGTCAGTTGACCTATAGTGACCAAATCACAATAGTTTCATGGGGACCGCAAGGATGACACTCGACAAGCCTTAACACATAGTTTCCAACGGACCATTGATCCCCAGTATTAGTAAATAACGTCCTCTTCCAAGTCGTTTGAGAAAGGCCGATCACCATCACTCCAAAACATAATAGTATATATTTAAGAAGCCAAAATATCTCTGAAACGATCTTCTCACTCTTACTCCTTCGAGTCGTGGTATCACATAACTATATCCACTGCACGTTCCAATTATAAAATTCTTTATGAAGATTATTGTGAATTTTACTTGAAAAAAAAAGCTTGTAGAATATTATGATATTAAACAAACTGTCTCGCAGGACTAGCGGTTTAGCACAAAGCTTTACGTTCGATGGTCGCGCATTCGATTCCTCGCACGGTCCAAACATTGTATTGTGTCCGTGAGTATGAATAGGTGTTTTATATGTAGTCTATATATGTACATACAAAACAATATATAACTAAATATTTATATCGTTATCTAGCACATATGGTACTAGATAGGGCTGTGTGAAAACAAAAAAATATACATTTTATTTCCTGTTACATTTATATAGTTACAATGGTACAACCGATACCATTGTAATCTTTATATTATGTATATATTTAGATAATTAAAATGTATACAACAAAAACAGTCAGAATATTTATAATTAAATATTAAAAATAGTTGGGTTTCCATTGCAAATCACTTTATTTAAAATCTCTCGCCCACCTGTACTAGAGGGACCAATATATAGAATCAATCGGCTGAATGAGTTTACGCTTGCGGCCACATGTGTATAAATACATGTCCAGCTGGTGGAACAGTTCCGTGAGTCTTCTTAATTATCAAGGCATTTTTTCTAAATTTAAGAACTGAGCATATTTAACACATTTAAAAGATATCGTTTAAAATAGATATTCACGTGAGCATTTAATAAAAAACTTATATAAACGCCAGTATTTAAACTATTCGCAGAATATCTAGTTAAATTCCTACGCTGCGATCCACCCTTTCTCCCAAAACCACCCATTTGTAAACGCATTGAGGTGGAACTCACCTAGCCTGATTCAGTATGTATATCTGTTATACAGATATATCTACAAAATTCCAGTGATTATGAATATACGTACTGCCACATAAGAGCTGTGACATTTTTAAAATATGGTATACGGTATACATAGAACTTTTTTAAACTTAAAACACTGATTTAACTTCCTCAGTGGTCTAGCGGTTTAGCACAACGCTTTCCAATTATAGCGGGTTCGATTCCTCGCACGACACAAACATTTGAATTCATGAGTATGATTGTTTGTATCGGTCTGGGTGTTTTCTACGTATACTATCAGTTGTCTAGTAACCAAAGCTCTGTTGGCTGTGGATCTAGATGCCAAAGTGGGAATTTTTAATTCAAATTTCCTTGATTATTTTTTGGATGCAATAAAACAATATTATTGTGCGTTTTATTGTCACGATTGATGTTAAAAAAACGTGACTTGGTTTAATACAAAAAAAATATAAATTTAATAAAGGAAGCTAAAAACAGCAAAAATTTTATATTTCAATAAAGTACTTTGCATTTGAAATGTAAAATACAAAAAAGTTTTTGCATTTTACAAACTATTTTGCACATACGTGCACTTAAGATAGAATTAAAAAGACCGCTCATAAAAATTCTCTACGAAAACATACAGAGATGAAGTTCATTGCAAGAAAGCAAACAAGAATCTGAGATAAACAGGCACACTTATTCACCTTTTAATTCTTTAAAAAATAGTCATCAGGTATAACAAAAATTTAAATGAATCTGTGGTAATCAAACTATTAAATATTATTTAAGAAGTAATTTAACTATATACTTTTATTAAATATATTGCAAGATATATTTAAAAAATAATCTCAATATGATTTCAATTTAGTCTCATCAGATTAGGGAACAATTATATTAAACAACTAGCTGTACTCGCGACTTCGTCCGCGTGGAATTTAACTATATTTTTCTAAAATAAAAGTAGCCAATAAAGTCCCGTCAAAATCGGTCCAGCCATTTCAGAGATTAGCCGGAACATACAGACAGACAGACAAAAATTGAAAAAAATATTATTTTGGTGTATGTACCGTATTTATATTCATATGCATGGAGCAAAAAAAGGTTATTTCAATATTACAAACAGACACTCCAATTTTATGTATAGATAATAAAATAAAGATGAAGCCAAAACTGTCCCTTCAGTTGCGTGTACACTAAGATTTTGTATAAAAATGCCTAGAAGAATAAGGTCACATTTTCGCAAAATATATTACTAAAACAGGTGTAGATGGAATTAATAAAAGGAGTAAATATCTATAAAGTGACCGTAAGACATAAAAATGAAACTGTTCCTAGCTGACAATTTAAACATTCCATAAAAGATTGCAGTAAAATGCAATGGAACGAAATAGAGCTGTAAAGTACGGGATATAAAAGAAGAAAATAAAATTGACGACAGTTTCCCTTACCTTCTTTATTTCTTCGTCGATCTCTTCCCGGAGGAGATGAAGGTAAGGGAATTGTAATAAAATTCATAAAGTAAACTAGTCATATTTAAGTAATATTTATTAATAACCTGCTATTTGATTCAAATATCTCGCAAAATATGGGTGATGCATTTTATTTGCCATATACATGAACAGCATTACGAACACAACTTCTGAGTTGCAATTCCAGAGGACTGTTATGCTTATTACGCTGTAATATCACTGACAATCTTACAATCGAAAAAGACTTTGCTAATCAAGCTGTGACTAAAATAGTTGAAAATGAGATACGCATGCAAACAGACTCTTTAGTCTACCTCTGCGCTCATAATGACGCGATATTTGACTATACCTGTTATTACAGTATCGGGGATAGCAGTAGGGAAGGTTTTGTCGGCTACTGTGGTCTAGCGGTTTAACACGTCGCTTTATATCCGATGGTCTCGGGTTCGATTCCTCGCACGGTGCAAGTTTCTTATATTCATGAATATGATTGTTTGCATCCGTCATGTATGTATGTGCAAAAAATATAAATCTAAACATTTATATCAGTTATCTACTACCCTTACCTTGAAACTAAATTTGTTATTGAATTGTCCAGTGTTATTGTTCTTATTTTATATTATTATTATTGTTTATAATATCTTACTAATATTATAAACGCGAAAGTTTGTGAGTATGGATGGATGTTTGTTAGTCTTTCACGCAAAAACGACTTAACGGATTTCATTGAAACTTTACAATAATATAGCTTATACATCAGAATAATACATAGGCTATATTTTATGTTGAAATTTCACGCGGACACATCTATTTATAAATAAAAGTTGAAAAAAATGTACTAGTCATTTTATCATTTCTTATTCAATATGTGACAAAACTAACTTAGTAATGGTCACTTCAATTTTTAACATCTGATATAAACAAGTTAGCCAAACCTAAATGACAAAGTGACGACTAACTTGATGAAAACTGTTAAAACGTTAGAGCGAGTCACAAATTGACAAGCGATGGACCGTATCTATAATTTAATTAAGGTGTAATGCTAGAGACGGTCTCTTTATGGCTATGCTTTCATTCAGCGTAAGTACAAATAAATTGTATAATACAGAATAGAAAATCCTTTATTCAAATAAACCTAATTTAAACGCTTGAATAGTCAGTTATCCTTCTTTTATCTACCGCTCATTCGGAAAGCTCTCTCATCACAATAAGAACGAGAAAGAAACATGCGTGTTTCTCTTTTAAATAAGTTTTGTTTTTAATTTTTTTAAGTCGATAGGTCAATATAGGTACAAACTACACGGATGTTAATATTAATAACCAAGAGGGGATTGAATCCTGTTATAGATTACAAAAATAGCCATTAAAATCCACAGGTTGGCAGCCATATCGCGTGACATAAAACAAACGCAAAGGAATGGAAAACAAATCCTTTAGAGTCTGTTATAAGTATAATTGCGGGTATTGAGCGACTGTTATGACGACGTCCTATTAACAGTGATCCCGGCATAATATCGGATTTATAACATTTCCTAATTGAGAAGAAAGTATTTACTAACAATTATAGAGTAATCATACATTTACGTTTTTTACGTTGACTGATGTAGACATCGTAAAATGTCGTCTGCATGAGTAACTGTGCCTTAACTATCAGAACCGCCAAGCAGTTTGCCTTGCAAACTATTTCAGTTTAACAATGAGACAAGGCAGGCAATAATTATAAGATATGGACATCTTAGTTCTTCGGTATGGCAACATATGAGTCGCATAAGAAGCGTCCTGTTACGATAATATGATACCGCAATGTTGTTCATGTATATAATTGACAGTGAGGTTAGTAT